GGAAAATCTACGCATACCGTTGGAAAGCTATTTTCCTGTAGGTGTGCAGAATCCCTTTATAAATTTAAATAGGCTCAAAGATAAGCACAAAAAATGAGTTTAAAAATTTGAAAAAATTAACATGGATCTTATGCGTTGCTATGCTGGTTACGAAATAACAACGAAATATAAACAGAAAATCAAAACAAATGGAGGAAACTCCAATCACATGTTTTATTTACAGTGTGGGGTGAAAATAGATAAGTGAGTACATTACATATTTTTGGTCGAGTTTCGACCACTGGACGACCTCTCGTCTATATATTAATAGGCAAGCATGTTTCTTTAAAACCTTTTTTCTCAGCTCGTGTTCATCGTAGGGAAAATCTACGCATACCGTTAGAAAACTATTTTCCTGTAGGTGTGCAGAATCCCTTTATAAATTTAAATAGGCTCAAAGATAAGCACAAAAAATGAGTTTAAAAATTTGAAAATATTAACATGGATCTTATGCGTTGCCATGCTGGTAACGAAAATAACAACGAAATATAAACAGAAAACCAAAACAAAATGGAAGAAACTCAAATCACATGTTTTATTTACAGTGTGGGGTGAAAATAGATAAGTGAGTACATTACGTATTTTTGGTCGAGTTTCGACCACTGGACGACCTCTCGTTTGTATTTATTGCATGTACTTTTTTCAGTTAAAAAAATAAAACCCTGTGTTAATAACTTGAGGTTAAGGAACGGGAAAAAGATTATCTTTTTACCATGAAGAAAACCAGCTTTATGTTTGTTACATAAAGGTTATAGTAAAGAAGAAAAATCATGATGACCCTTCCAATTTTCCTGAGCTTTTAGGAACCTAATTCATCCATAAAAAATTATAGTTTTATAAAATTTATAGTAGCTACCATAGTAACCAATATCATGGTTTATTTGTGGTTTTTAATTTATGTTAAAAAGGTTACTATAAAATACTGTACCGTACCTATATAAACAATTATTGTCAACATAAACAAAACTCTTTTAAATTTCTTTAGATATTTTGTAACCTCACAATAACCTGTACAATCTCAATTCGCACTGTCTTATTTTCTGCGGTATCAATGTCTTTGTTGATTAAGGTATTAACATAAGAAAATGCTGATATCACAGCAATTTTTACCATGTCTGTCGAAATATTTAAGCAATCAAGAGGGAAATGCAAGCTAAAGGAAGGAGAAAAGAACAATTTCCAGGGAAAACGCAGTCCCAGGATAATATCGAGGGCCACTTGCTTTGTGTTTAGAATATTGAATAAGGTGGAATGGGAGGCCTGCTATAATATGTCTGGAAACTGGAAACCAAACTTATCCTTATAATGGAGTATATTGAATGGGAGGATTTATTTATTTAGACAGTTTATCAGTATTTAATCGCAATATTAAGTTGAATTGCAGTTACAAATGAATCAAATCGCCATGAAATAGGTTGAAAGTTTAGAGCTAGGTTAATTTAGGTAAAACATCTGATTCTTTTTAACAATGTTATGTTAAATACAATTATAAATATTTTTTAGTCAAACTATTGATTTTTTTATACTGAAGAAGAGACATTCATCTAAATGGACCAGCTGTAGACAATTTTTCATTAAAATAGTACATAGTTGAATGAACAACAGAGTCTGCTACAGTCTAAAATGGGTTTTCCTCCCTTAGTTTTTTTAGCGAATTTACCACATAGGGAATAATAGCTATTAGCGTACGTCTCATGGCAAGACCTAGACCCGTCACCACTCCACTTATATTTTGATGTCCCCAGGGGCCAAAAACACCACCCGTTCAAATTCATGTACGTAATTGTATACGTTAGCTCCATAACTCAAATAAAAATCATCTGACTTTGATGGAATTCGGTACAAATGTACTAGGTGGCGTTCGCAGAGGCATCCACAAAATTGAGCGGAGTCATCGAGGGTTCATGTTATATTGTTTTTGTCATATTGCAGTAAAAACAGTCGTCTATGCGTTGCAGGTCTAAAGTAGCATTTTTACTCTCTAGGGAGTAAAAATAGTTTTTAACCTCTATGGAGTAAACATCAGCTGTTGTCAACTCAGTTGTAAATTTGAATTGTAAACGATTGCATGTATCTAAAATATGTATCGATTCGTGCTTCGTAATCATTTTAACCTAAAAAGTCTACAGTCTCTTCCCATAGCATTTTAGTATTGCAGATACATTCATCCATTCCCACACTCAACACTGCTCACCTTTACTACTTCCTTCACCACCCACTACGTCGTAGACCTGTTCCCTCTCTTCCCATAGCATTTTAGGATTGCAGATTCATTAATGTAATTGCCAAAGACAGTTCCCACACTCTGCATTGCTAGACTTACTAATTGCTTCACCATTTCCTACATCATAGACCTGTTTCCTTCCTTTCTCATTACATTTAAGATTGCAGACACATTTATCTAACTGCCCAAACGGTTCCCCCACTCTGCACTGCCAGCCTTTAATACTTCCTTCACCACGTCCTCCGTCGTGGGTCCTGTTTCCTTCCCTTCTCATCGCATTTTAGGATTGAAGATACATTAACCTAACTGCCACAGATGATTCTCACACTATGCTCATACTTTACTATTTCCTAAGCCACTTCCTACGTCGTGGACCTTTTTTCATCACTTGCCATATCATTTTAGTATTTTAGATACGTTAATCTAATTGCCACAAACATTCCCCACACTCCGCACTGCTACCCTTTACTACTTCTTTCTCCATTTCCTATGTCGTGGGCATGCTTCCATCCCTTCTCATGCCATTTCAGCTTTGCAGATACAAATGGTTTCCAGTTCCCACATTCCACACTGCTCACCCGACTACTGTACTTCCTTCATCTCTTCCTACGCCGTGAACCTGTTTCCCTCTCTTCCCATAGCATTTTAGGATTGCAGATACCTTAATCTAATCATCATAAACAGTTCCCACAGTCCGGACTGCTTGCCTTGACTACTTCCTTCACCACTTCCTACGTCGCAGACCTGTTTTCCTCCCTTCCTATAGCATTTTAGGATTGCAGATACCTTAATCTAATCGTCATAAACAGTTTCCACACTCCGGACAGCTCGCCTTGACTACTTCCTTCACCACTTCCTACGTCGCGGACCTGTTTTCCTCCCTTCCCATAGCATTTTAGGATTGCAGATACCGTAATCTAATCGTCACAAACAGTTCCCACAGTCCGGACTGCTTGCATTTACTACTTCCTTCACCACTTCCTACGTCACGGACCTGTTTCCCTCCCTTCCCATAGCATCATAGGATTGCAGATACCTTAATCTAATCGTCATAAACTGTTCCCACACTCCGGACAGCTTGCCTTGACTACTTCCTTCACCACTTCCTACATCGCGGACCTGCTTTTCTCCCTTCCCATAGAATTTTTGGATTGCAGATACCTTAATCTAATCGTCATAAACAGTTCCCACACTCCGGACAGCTCGCCTCGACTACTTACTTCACCAATTCCTACGTCACGTACCTGTTTCCCTCCCCTCCCATAGCATCATAGGATTGCAAATACCTTAATCTTATGTTCATAAACAGTTCCCACGTCCCGAACAGCTCGCCTTTACTACTTCCTTCACCACTTCCCACGTCACGGACCTGTTTGCTTCCATTCCAAAAGCATTTTAGGATTGCAGATGTCTCAAACTAATCGTCACAAACAGTTCCCACAGTACGGACTGCTTGCCTTTACTACTTCCTTCACCACTTCCCACGTCACGGACCTGTTTTCATCCCTTCCCATAGCATTTTAGGATTGCAGATACCTTAATCTAATCGTCACAAAAAGTTCCCACAGTCCGGACTGCTTCCCTTTACTACTTCCTTCACCACTTCCTACGTCACGGACCTGTTTCCCTCCCTTCCCATAATATCATAGGAATGCAAATACCTTAATCTAATGGTCATAAACAGATCCCACGCCCCGGACAGCTCGCCTCTACTACTTCCTTTACCACTTCCTACGTCGTGGACCTGTTTCCTTCCCTTCCAATAGCATTTTAGGATTGCAGATGCCTCAATCTAATCGTCATAAACAGTTCCCACACTCCGGACAGCTCGCCTTGACTACTTCCTTCACTACTTCCTACATCGTGGACCTGTTTTCGTCCCTTTCCATAGAATTTTAGGAATGCAGATACCTTAATCTAATCGTCATAAACAGTTTCCACACTCCATACTGCTACCTTTACTACTTCCTGCACCACTTCCTACGTCACGGACCCAAGCTAGTGTCGTCATTTGATTATATGTATTATCCATACCGTTTCTGTCCTAATATCTGTGGAATAATGCTATCAGCTATTTCCTTATTTACTGCATTCAAAAGTCAACAGCTGATCATATGTCTTTGTGTATGTGTCAAATACTGCTTCCATGAGGATTACATTGAAACTTTGAGACCCAGTGGGGCGGATTCCTGAGAGACTATTTTAACGCCATATAGATGTTGGCACTCACCGATATGGTCTTTATCACCATGCAAAATTTCAAAACGATTGATTCAGCCGTCTAGGAGGAGTTTGCGTATTACGAAATGCACAAGAGTCGACGTATAAGAGCTTCGCTCAATAAACCTATGTTTATTTGAACGAGCTCGGGAACTAGCATCATTGAACTTTGAAAATAACTTTAGACAATTGGATTGGGAAAGTCTGACATTTACCCTGACCCTGCTTCATCACTGTTTTAAAACATTGGTTATGTTCTGTTAGCCACAATGTTTGCAAAAGTATAACTTTAATGTGTCTGTAAGAAAACTCATCTGCTAAGTATTTAAGAATAATCTGCAATTGGGTTTGAAATATTTTCTTATCAGTTCATATACCCAGCTCTTCCAGGTTATCTCATCCACTCTTCTGTACCACATTGGGAGCATCATTCTAACCTACTTTGCACTGTATAAATCTTTTTCCGTACGCACATGCTTGTATTTACAACTGTCTACAATTATCTCACCTTTTGCAGGAGGCGACGCCAGACCCCACAGCAGATCCGGTGCAGCTCAAGAAGGCCTTGGAGTGGGAGCTGTCTCTAGACACACGAGATTTGCGATCACACGCATGGTATCACGGAGCCATCCCTCGTACACGTGCCGACGAGATTCTGCAGGAAAACGGAGACTTTCTGGTGCGAGACTGTACGTCCCAGCCGGGCAACTATGTGTTGAGTTGCCGCAGTAAAGGACAGGGTCTGCACTTTGTTATCAACAAGGTTAGTTTCTTCATGTTTGCTTAAAGATATAGTTAAGTAGTTAACTAGCTGTGGGGTGGTAAGTTTTCTGAGGCTGCTCTAGGATTTTGCTGTTCTTCAGCTTAAACAATTATAAATCATAAATGTTGAGGGAAACTTAAGTCAAAATATTTCATTGATTCATTGAGCGGATTTCATGTCATTCTTAAAATTCAATGTTGTTGGTTGAATCCTATAAAAGACAAATTATAGACCTAGGTGCTGTGACTTTGTTTGTTTGTTTTTAAGTTTTTTTTTTTCCTATGAGGATTAGCAAATGGTTTACCAAAATATATAACTGGTGCTTTTTTGACTAGGCTCATCACTAGACATAAACAAAATCATGGTTTGACTCGCTTCTTAAATAAAATGTAAAAAAATAAATGTTACTGACATACACCCAAAATAATGATAAATTAAAATAAACCAAAATGTAAGATTATCATTGTAGTTTATCATTTTTAAGTGGTTAACCTTAATTTTGTTTGTTTGTAGGTTGTGATTCAGCCAGACACAGTTTACGAGCGAGTGCAATACCAGTTTGAAGATGATGCGTTTGACACTGTACCTGACCTCATCACCTACTACGTGGGTAGCGGAAAGCCTATCTCTACTGCCTCTGGTGCTCGTATCACAGCACCTCGCAACCGACTCTATCCCCTCTCCTTCTACGCCACCAAGTACGCTCTTCATCACCAGATGGGCGGAGGGACTCCAGCAATATCACCCATCGCCTCCTCTCCTCTAGCTTCTGGTGGAACGTTGCGCTTCAACACCTACAACAGTTACCGGAGTCCTGTCCATTCACCTCCTCGAACAAAACGTGAAATACCTCCTAGATTACCCAGCAAAAAACAAAGAAGTCATTCGCTGACCCCTTCAGAAATGAATGGAAGAGGACTTTCCTTGAGTACTCACGGATCAATTGACGAGAGGAGCAATAGTGCAGACGGAGTTATTTTAGACTCTCCGATGACCAGGTCTTGTCAAGAACCTTCTACTAATGGCAAGTTTTCTACACATTCCTTACCTAGGGCAGCCGGGCTGAATTCCTCAAAGACCTCAGTTATAACTCCCGGAACTGAGACTGTACCAAGAAATTCTAAAATCGTCAGAGTTACCAGTGATCCCGCTCTAAGTCCTTGTTTGGAAAGGAGAAGGTTTGAGTGTCCTGATTCCAAACACGAAGACGGATCAGAAAGTCATCCTCCTCCAAAACCAAGTAGACTTCCATCAGTTTTAAGGTCTGAAAGCAATCCTCTCGATTGTGATATCGATGATACGAGGCAAAGCACAACAACCCTCACAGATATTCCTTATCCCATCAACAGTCACGGAACATTCCAAAGAGTGGTGTCATACCACGCTTCTGGCAGTGACTCTGGAAACGGATCCGGAGATTCGGCTCAAAGCTCGGCTGCCGGAGACGCTTCAGAATCCACCACCCCTTGCTCGACGCTTCCTCAGAGGCCAAGCGGAGTTGTAATCAAAAACCCGAGATATATCCACTCTCAAGGTTTAACTTCTTCCTGTTCCTCAACAACTTTAAAAGCCTTTGAGTACGACTCGGCTGTAGAAGATTCCCTGGCTTTGGAGGCAGTTAATGTAGAGTTTCCGACGTTTTTCGATCTTGAAAACTTCCAAACACTTCTTCTTCCTACATCTGAGAACAAACCGCTGGATGCGACTGCACTGCAGGGTATCAGAATGATGTTGCAGGAGACAGGATCTCGTATCCTTGCTAACCATCTGACCAGGATGGACCTTGAGTTGACTGTGGGTTCAGACTCTTGTAGACCCTGGGAGGGTGAGACAGGTGTCGGAGTCAAATCTGGAATTGAAATGGCTGCGTTGCCCATTGGCAGTCAGATACGACTAGACATCATTGAAAGGTATGTGTTTTTTTTAACTTATGATTTGAATTTCTTTTATCTAAATTATTTTTTATAATGAAATCAACTTTTGAGTTAGGCCTACATGCTGACCACAATAACATTATTGTTCATTTTTGGCCCAATGTCTAATAGATCATTACGTTGAACAAGAAAATTGTAGTTCATCTTGAAAATTTTAAATGTTAGTTTTTTTCAACATTAAACCATTATTGAACTATAGCAGTCTCATTGTAATCCAACAGAACCAAAACTATTTTGGCTTACTGAAGATAGGGATTTCTAGAGTTATCAACATAAAAAGTTTTAAAAGATTTATAGACTGGAGCGGGTTAAATTTACCTGACGAAATTTACAAGACGATTGTCTAAATGACGAATTCCTGCATTACACTACGACTTTCGCCATCAGGAAATTTGTGTCACACGACCACGAGGGAGGTATTGGATCATCCTCCTGACACCCACTACAAACTATAAAACCGTTTTTGTTTACATTAAATTTATAAATAAGTTTTTCATTGTTGAACAGTAATAGTTACCATTACCAAATAATGCTACAGTGCTTGAAAAGTGTTAACAATTTACGCATCTTTTGAAACCTTGTTATCATTTAATCACAATTTCAACTGTGCCACAACAATAAATATTATTGAATAACAAAAATCCACTATTTATCCTGTATACACAGTGCTACTAGCTTAAAATTGCAACCTTAAACTGTGTCACCCCTATGAAAAACCCCTTGTACCTCAATATCTCTCAAATACATTAGTTGTCTCTATTTCCCAGGACACAGTGTCTGAAGCTGCTAGTGGCTGTGACAATCCTCACTTGCTCGACAGAGGGAGAGAGAGCCGAGACACTCAACAAGTGGATACAAGTGGCTGTGGATACCAAGACTGCGCTCGGAAACTTGTTCGGCTTTGCCAGCATCATGCTCGGCCTGTGTATGCCTCAGGTAAACACAAGGGTTGTTCTGTTAGTGAAACTTTCACAAGTGATGAATAGGAACAGCTACTGAAATAATTAAGCTTCTGATGTATTAAAAAAAGTTTGAATACCTGCTATTAGGCAAGCCATTAAACTGCATACATAGTTTCAGCTCTTACATGGAGCCATCATCAGACGGTACGAAGGACGTTTTTTGTCTCTTCCTAGAGGGGTGCACACACTGGAGCGGTACGGTGGTGCGGTAGCAGTGCGATATTCGTGAGGTGATTTAGCACAATGGAAGTAAATGCAATCGGCCACACCGGAGCGGTGCGAGCGGTAGTGGTATACTGCCCTAAACCACCGCACTGCCGAGATGCAGCATGTTCCATTTCACCACCCAGCGGTGCCGGTGCGATGAGTCATTTTGTGTCCAGGACTCCAAGCAACCAAAATGGCAATTGAGCTTCTAATCGAAAATGTCTATTTGTACCCAATTTGCATTCCATTGTCATCCTGAAATATATGTTAAAACGTTTCTCATCTTTTCTCAGTTTAGGCAGCAATTTAGGGTATTCTAAATGTTCAAATCGCCTTTTTTGATGTCAATTGAAATCTTCTTTGTTGAAAATGCTATAATATTTTTTAAAATATTTTTCATCACTCCGTAACGAGAGTAACTATTTTCGATAACAGCTGACATCAATGAAAGTAGTTGTTTCCCAAGCTCTAATTTAGGGCGAGGGCAAATCGATCAGCTGATTTTCCCTCGCTCTAAATTCACTTTCCCTCGCTCTCAATTAGTTCTCCATTTATTCACTACACGCGCTAGTGTTTTGTTATGGTTTAATTTAATGATTTGAATGAGCTGTATGTATCGTTCAAAGCTGTTTTATTCTTTTCTATAATTATAAAAGAGGATGTTTGTATATATATATATGTTTGGCAGTGATAAACTCAGACACCGCTGAACCGATTACCACGAAACTTGGTACACACGTGTAGAATTTCATGGAATAGGTTTATACACCATCAATTTCGTGATCCGTCCAATAGGCTCCGCCCCAGTGGCTCTGGAGTTTTAACGCTTGACTGACTACATTCCAGATCTCAGTAATATTGACATAGCAGATCTCAGTAATATTACAACTATTTTATTTCTCAATTAATTTGATTGAACATCAAAAGAAAATAAAATAAAATTTTCTAAAAGGAAACCTACATATATTTCTCAATACATTTTGTTTAAATATAAAATACTAGTTGAACCCGGCAGACGTTGTCTTGCCTTTGACTATTTATAATTTAAGTACCGTAACGTTTAATTGTCTTATTGTATATGAAGTGCTTATAACTAAATTAAAATACGTACGACAACTAATGAAACACATATAGTACAAAGGATAACCGATTCTTTATTATTGCTCTTATATTAATGCTAGTGATGGGTAGACAATATTTTTGGTCTTTCTATTCGGCTCAATCACGTCCTGGTTGAAGTTCGTTCGCTACGCTCACTCATCTTTAGGTTGGAGCTCGTTCGCTGCGCTCACTTGCCTTCAGGTTAACATGAATAAAAATAATTGTACTATGTCGTGATGAAAAGTACCGTTCATAACTCGTACCAAAAGTCATTATCCGGCACTTGCTCCATTATTCCCGTCCTTGGCTTCACCTCGCACGTGAAATTGATGTTCCCTGTGTGCGTACGTGAAAATAGCTCTCACATACTCGGCTTCGCCTCGCACGTGAAATTGATGTTCCCTGTGTTCGGCTTCGCCTCACACAAAAACTTGAGCGCGCGACGGAAAAAGCTACTTTCGGTCCTAGTAATGAAATATACTATTGACTTTTGTGTATAATTATTAATGTTTTTTGTGTGCCTTTATAAAAAATTGTATTTCTTTTTACCATTCAGGTGATCAGGCTGTCCTTACGGAAAATATGAATGTTTTCTATGGCCAAGACTAAAGAAATCAATGGTACTAAGTAAGCCCTATGTGCAATAAATTGATAATTTTCATAGGCTCGTCAAATTAAATGTATATGTATCTTGATCAAACATAAAAAAATTAATTAGAAATGTAAATATAAGAAAAATCATCAATAAAAAAAAATACTCAATCTAATTAAGAAAGAAACCAAAACAAATCAAATCATGCTGAAGCATATGTTCCAACATTAAAAAATTGTTTATTCACAAGGTGCATTTATTTTAAACTCAAATAGCATCCAGTTTTAGTTTTATTTTGGATTCCCAAATCAGAGACTATTGCAGCTTCCAATTTGGTGGGTCTTCACCATTAAAATGCCAAAAAGTTGTTAATGAAGTTGACAACTGGTTAGCCATCGTTAATTGTTTGCCAACTCTGAGTAGCTCGCAGACAAGAGTATCGTCAACACAATTATGAAGAGTACTTCAATCATTCCACTGTTTGTTGCCTAAGTGGTTGCCATGGCAACAGTAAATGTTTGATGTTTAACTTCCCCTATTAGCTCATCCCGTTAGGAATTCCAACCAACGCCTTTAATCCTACCCATCTGAGGGAGTGGTGGAATAACATGAAAACTTAACTTTTTAAATATTGTGATATGTTTTGTAGGAGGTGGAAATTTGCATGTGGAGCTACAGTACTTTAGTATCTGAAATCATTGTTTATATCGCATTACAGTTGCCCATTTTGTAAAATTCTAGTCTTTTTACAAAACACTGCCTTATTGTAGAAAAGACTCCGAAATTGCAATTAGGACAAATTTAGGTATAATAAAAAACGGTTGAGTTAATTTCGTTAAGTTCAGCTTATATACTGTTTGTGAGATTTTATTTAAAAAAAGACTCTGTCACCAGCTGTATTGTAATATGGCTACCCCTAATTTTGTAAAATTTCTTGGTTTTCAACCTTTTTATGGAAAAAAATCACAAATCACAATAACAACTTTTTAAAAAAATCTTAGGATGTTACAGCCCAATTCTCAAAAGTAACGATTAGGCGGCATTTTATAAAAAGCCTAGACTTTTTACAAAATAGCTTATTTTACAACTGTATTGGTACTGCCATATATTTAAGATTCCCCCTAACAAATCAGCTGTAGGAAGTTTCATATAAATGAAATGTCTATCCTTTACGTTTTTTTAAGAGAAATTCTGCTTGGGATTTAGAAAGATGAACAGGAGGGTTTATGGGTAGTGAAAGGGGGAGTGGCTACATTACTTACGGAAATACACCTCAGAACGGCCATAAAGGGTGGAATCAAGCCAAAACAGGGGTTTAAAGGCCGTCACATCAACTATCTTTTCACCTCATGTAACTTGCCAGTGAGGATTTAGCTTTACAACATTTATTTCAATATTACCTACCATCGGAGGGATTTGTTGTATGTGAGATTTTCACTATAGATACATTTTTTGAAATTTTGCACACTTATTTCTAGGTACCTAGGGAAGATTGTACCAAAAGTCCCCATAAATATGAAGCGAGCTTAAGCGGTATTAGCCAAAACAGGGCCCTTTTTTTTGTTTTTGACTAAAATCTTGAGAACCGTCGGTCGGATTTAAAAGTGACTGGATACCAAATGAAACTTTTATTTTATACCTAATGGTTACTGAGTTATAGGGTGCTAAAATACCTATAGGGTTTATTTTCAAATTGTCGGGGTGAGAACAATGGTGCAAACTAAAGTAGGTATTTCGCTGAGAAAAAACACCATATTTTAGTACCCTATAACTCGGTAACCATTAGGAATAAAATAAAAGTTTTTAAGCGTCATTTTTGTGAAAATTTAATGATCATCTTTGATTTGGTATCAGTCACTTTTAACTCCAAACAACTGTTCTCAATATTTTACCCAAAAACCAAAAAAAGTTCCCTGTTTTCCCTAATTGCCGCTAGAGATCGCCACATATTAATGGGGACTTTAGGTATAATCTTCTCTAGGTACATAGAAATATGTGTGCAAAGTTTCAAAACTTTCGGAATTTTTCGGAGGTTGGGTCATTAGTTTATATATTTTTACTGGACTATAGGAGTTCCCAAATGGTATGGTGGTGGTGGTGTTATAAATAGTGGTGTCTTTCTATATATTAAGATTACTATTCAATTTATTTGGACTTCTCACGTAAGTATAATGTATTAATGAAGTTTTTTTAAGGATTTTGTAATGTATAGATTTAACAGCAGGCTTACTTAACACGTTTGCTGCGGGCCATCAAATGGCAGGCGTAGCCCCAGTGCGGCGCAGCCCGCAGCGTCGAACAAACCCGATTGCCGGGTGATTGGCTCTCATATTTCGGTAGGACGAATAGCAAATAACGTGCGGTAATGTCCTGCTTTATAACAAGAGTCAACGTAGTTCGCTAAACACTCACAGATAGCAGCACTGCTTGGAACGTAGCCGGTCCCATTGTATTGCCAATTGGAGGGAGAATGACGGGACAACAAGTTGATTATTAAGTTTGCCTTACGGGGATTTTATGGGGAAATTTTACTACCAACCTACAACACAATAAAAAGCAAGTTACCCACTACACGCTAACGTGCTATAGGTCCGCCTTCGACCGACGCTAGAGCAAAAACAAAGATATACGAAAGGCATTGCCGAGCGTATCCGATCGGTTACAGCAGCACCTGGACAGCGCTCGGCCCGTATCCGATCGGATACGCCAGCAGTGAACGTGTTAACTGACGAAAATAGATTAAATATTAAATAAACACAGAGTTTTTTGAAGCTACTGTAGCTCCTTCTTCAGTTGTAGAGTCTCTAAAGAAGGAGTAGCTCCAAACATTCTGTTCTGTGTTTAAGTATTTATTTGTGTTTCATGTATTTTTGTCATTAATTATTTATTTGCCTGCTGTTGAACCTATATGCATTGCAAAATCCTTTAAAATCCTGGCATAAAGGTCATTTTATAATATTATTTTTACAAACCCAAATGGGAAGAGGCATTGTCTTGATCTGGCATTGATGTGGGAAAAGGCGTTGATGAATGATCTGACTTTTTCTCTGAACATTAGAAATTAAGATTAATTAATATTGGAATTTGAATATTTTTCTTTGTTTCAGATACAAAGGCTGACAGTAACTTGGCACGTACTGCGGCAGAAATTCACAGATTCAGCGTTCAACTTTGAGGCCAAACTCCGGCCAACGTTAAAGAGCATGAACGAGTGTACCAACCCTCAAGCCCCAAACACCACAATTCCCCATCTTCTCCCATGCGTTTTGCTGCAGGAGAGAAGTTTAGAAGACATAATGGGTGCGTTTTATTTTTAAACTAACTGCTGTACCCGTGCTTCGTGCCACTATAGTGGTGTATTAAGCTGAATATTGATAAAAGTGGTATTGTTGTTAAACTTTAAGTGAAAGATAATGATCTAAATTTATATACAAAACAAGTGAAAAGTATTTTATCAACATCTACACTGGTATAAAACATCTTTGTGGGATAGGTAGTGGTCCTAAAAATATTTATCCATAAAATTAGAATCAACAATAACTTGTTCACTAAAGTGTTCCAGTTTTGACTTTTAATTCTGTTTTATGAAGTAATGTTTTAAGAATTGAGCAGTCAAACTGATGATGTTTTCAGGATTTCGATTTAATCAACTAATTTTCTTTTTCCTGATCAGGTCAAAGCAGCAAGCCCATCACTAGTTTGGAGACGAGCATTTTGAGTTCCTGGGAGTCTTCAACATCGGACTTTGGCCTCGGGACTTTATTCGCTCATCTAGAACTGTCTCGGAAGTTCGGTGACTCTTTGCCCTCCTTTAGACGAAATGCTGAGATAGTCTTAGGAGACTCAAAGGTAACCGGAGATTCATTTTCGTAAATAGTTATAAAAACATGTCTATAGGTATTACTATAGTTTAAAGTTCAGTTTGTTGATAGTAAGTTGATGATATTTAAGAAATTATTTTGGACATTTCCATCAAGATTAGTAAAAAAAACATTGAGTAAAATTTATAAATATATTATAAATTGTGATGGGAAACGGGGCAATATTTTCTTACATAAAACATGTTAAATTTTGCTTCCCTTTTACCAAGAGTCAAATTTTGCATATTTCGTCACAGTTACGTACAATGACCTCTTTTAGTCTCTATTTGGTTGGATTTGCAGGGTTCTACTGTAAGCCCATACAGCAACTGTACAATTCTAATTCAAAATTAAAATTATTTACTGTCCCAAAAAAAATTACATCAATTGCTGCCGATTGCCATGTATTGTTGGCCGATTATATGTAGCTTGTGTCTCATAAACTTATGTCTTAATCTACTAACATGGTCACAAAACATTTTAATACAACAAATATGCCTAACTAATCTTAGTAGATTAGAAACACAGCCAACAGCCAATAGCCACAACATTTTGAACACAGCAAATCAACAACAGATACTCTGACAAATACACCAACAAATACCCGAGGAGGGGTCTGCTTAATAATCTGGAATAAACACCTTATCCAGTAGCATCTTAATTCTGACTTTTAAAAAATCACAGACAACTTACTGTTGTTTATGATTAGTCTAACATTTAATTTAATTTAACACGTTCAGTGCGGCAGGCATTCCAACAGGTGCTCGCCAATGGCGGCAAGGCCCGGGCGAAGACCCGGCACGGCACTGTTACAGCGAACGCAATTGGCATTCAAATATTTCAATCTGACGAATAACAAAAGAGCAGCGGTGATTGTAATCTCCCCAATCGTTACCCCAAGATTGTACGTAGTTCCCTAAAACACCCCTCAAGGTAGCAGCACTGCCTGGATCAGTAGTCAGTGGCTTTGTAATGTGGCTTGAAGAGAGAAAATCCCCGAAACCGGGACAAAAGCATTGTCAGACGGGATTTTTCGGGAAATTTTAGTACCAACCTACACAGCAACAAAGCTCACATTCTAAGCTACAGGCTAGCAACGATTTTAACGTTCCCCGGCAATGGCTGAGCTCATACTGAACTAATGTAGTGGGGGTTGCGCACCTACATCAATTGATGTAGGCCGATAGGAGCGCTCGTGGCGCGACTACATCAATTGATGTAGTCAGCACTGAACGTGTTAATAGTTTAATTCATCAAATAATGTGATTCTTAAGATATTTTATCAGACATTTCTTTGCTTATCCCTGTGATCACTAGGTGGACGATTTACTCCTAGACATGTTCCGGACGGAGTTCCACCTCAAGTTCCTGTGGGGGTCGCGCGGCGCGACGGTGGCAGCGGCAGATCGACATTCCAAGTTTGAGCAAGTTCTCAGCGTCATGAGTGAGAAGTGTGAACCGTCTGTCGATCAGGTTTCATCACAACCTGCGCCAGCGTACAGTCCTGCCATCGGCACGAGCGTCTAAACCAACTTGCAAATTCTTGACAGTCCGAAAAATCATCAAAAATTATTTTCACAATGTAAATGAACTCATGTAAGCCTCTGTTCTAAAATCCTAAAGTACTAACCTTTTTTATATAAAAAAAATTTCTTTTATTTGCTAGACACCAGTATCTAGAGCCTACCTCCTAAGATATTAAAAATTTACAACCATTTTCACCGGGTGTAACAAGATCAAATTTATTCAATATGACGATTGCTGATAAAAACAATTTATCCATTTACATGTTCCAAAACTCAGAATTATCTACCGAGGAAATATTTATTCTCTTTTGTTTGTATTTAGTCTTTACTGTAGGGAAAATACAAGCAAAATCAGGTGTGATTAATTGTTGGTATTTCTGTATTCTGTTTTATTTGTTTCAGCTTAACTTAACCAATCAATAGTTTTATTAATGCTTATGAAGTTAAACGGGCTGAAGCCCGTGGGTAACAGCTAGTTGAAATATATATATTCCAAATCCAAATACAAATTGCCCACTAATTTGCGGCAAGATTATTTACTAATAGTTTTTGAAGTGTCGGACTGTCAAGATTCTATTCTAGATCATTCTTAGATGGTGCTATCATAATGGTTGTTAACATTTTTGTAAACCTTGGTGGAAATGAAAGTACTAAAATGTGCATTTTAAAAGCTGAACTCCAAAAATAATAAATTTATAGTTTTAAATATTTTTTTAAGGATTTAATTTAATTAAATTTCCTCTAAAGGTAATTAATATAGTCCTATAAAGGCACAATACTAATGACTTTTCAAACAATGTCTACAAAGAACATGTCTTAAATAAAAAGTAGAATTTATTGAATACTGTATCTAAAATAATAATTATTTATACATCAAAAAACTTTGAACCACAGGTAAGTTTATAAAAATTATTACAAAATTAAATGTGTTATCATGATCACCAATTCGAAATATTGCTAGGTAAGTTTATTTAAGTAATCCCTTTTTAAAGCTTTTGATTTTCATAGAAAGCATATTGCAGTTTTTTGTTGAAATTGAGTATTATATTTAGTTACCTTTTGCAGAATAGTTATTTGAGCTTTATTTTTATTTTTAATTATATTTTTATACGTGCGGTTGACTCTCTGAAATCTGGACTTGAGTGATAGAAGGTTGATCCAAATTTTAAAAAAATCGGCTTATTCAGGATTCAAGCTAAAGCTTGTTTTTAGAGCGGCATTTAGTAAGATACTATTTTTGCCCCATTGTACTGGAATGGTATTATACAGTAGTTGAACATTTGCTCAACAATTTTTGATTCAGTAAATTTTAGTACTGTAATAAATATGATAGACTACTATAACCTCAAATCACAAAAAAATAATCAGAAATCAAAAGTGCCCAACCCACAAAAATCAACTTTCAGATTTTTTTACTATAATAAACCTGCAAATTAAATATTCCATTTCATCAGTCCAGATTTTCTGAGAACGGATTTTGGGGAGTCTATCGTATTTAATTTTTGTGATATGTTAGATTTAATTAGTTTATGTTTTAGAAACAATGTAATTTATTGAATGTTTTAAACACTATTTTCTCATTTTAATTTTTGACCAACAGTATACTTCCTTTCGAACGATTTTGTAAATGTTTTTCACTGGTAATGAATTGGAAAAGACAATTTCAATGTATCAAAATGTAACAAGACTGACCTTTGAACAGGATAGTGGCATGGAAAACCAGTTGTATGTAGAATAGATGTACATTCCCGATTGTAAAATATGTATAAATACCGTGAGACATGTAAATAAAAGTGAATCACTCGATGTACTTAATATTGAACAGCATTATTATTTAACTGTAGGACTTGTGAAACATTCAGAGCATTTCTAAACCTAATATATTAACCATTAAACTGTAGTTTTGTAGTTAAAGAGGACGGGAGAGACTGAAGTTTATTGTAGAATGTTTGCAAAACTGTGATTATGTTTGTTGTTATATTTGCAATTTTGTATGTTTTCGATAGGAATATTTTCCTACTTTCTCAAAATATATGTATACTGTATGAGTTGTTCAAGATGTTTAGATGGTTTTAAATTTTGGCACAAAAATATGCTCAGAAGCAGTTTTGAATGTTTTATTATTTTTTTTATTTCAAACTCTATTTTTCATAGTACCGTACTTCTATGATGCTTTTATCAAGAGTAGTTGTAAAACTCAAAATTCTAGTTAGGTACTAATATTGATAACAATAAGGATCATAACTCCAGTCAAACACGCTATTATTTGTGTAACGTTTAACGTTTTATTTAACTGTTTTTGTTTAGCAAAAACCTTATGACCTCAGTCATTTTTGGCGGGTCAACGTTATATACGGTTATATAATGGGTACAAGGGAAACAATTTTAAAAACTAGCAGATACGGCCATCATTTGATCTTGATCACTAGTTGATGAAGTTTTATTAACGAACTCAAAACATTACTGTCATCAAGTGTTTAATTATGGGAGTGGTTATGTTTGTGACATGGAAACTGTTTTAGCAATTAATGATCTTTATGACTCTTACATTGAATGTTTTAATACAGAATAGATTACGTTTAGAATTTCAGTGACTACAGGTTACTTTAAACTATTACCAGTTGGTTTACCTATGATTTGCAATGGAAAGGGGATGCGAAAGAGAATGTGGTGCTTAATAAATCCACTGTAGAAAACAATAACACGACCATCTATATAATAGAAAATAAATGGTATAAGCAAAGTGACACATACTTTCTCCCATTAGCTTGCCTAAAACCCTTACATTATCAAGTGGTAGGAGTAAACAATGGTATTGTAGAGGTGAAATCACAAAGGTTGCAATAACCTTTTATCCATCATTTTTCAGTATTGGGGGTTGTACTATGTTGTAGGTTGTAGCGAGTTACAAGACCTGAAAATTCTAAATATTAATCAAAATCGGTCAAGCCGTCATTTTAAAAATCCAATTTTTCCGTCTTTTTACAAGTTTTTATGGTCACATAAATTGCAATACGGTAACTTTTTCATGTAGAACAAATGGATACACGGAAACAACAAGTTTACCATAGATTAATCATGCCATAGATAAAAGGAGTATAATCATGCTTTGTCAATTTTTCAGATTCCCATATCTTAATATCATGTTCTCGTTCTTCCATAGATGTAAGTCGCTCAGTCGGGGAACAATTTGCATATTTTTGTGCCAGTAGCGTAGTTAGCTCGCACGTTGACGTGTTATGGGTGTCCAGTATTTTAACGTGTACCTTTATAACTAAGCTATATCTGTATTATGTTAATCAGACCCCCATCGCAATACTGCTTTAAAATACAATACTGTATGTGTAATCACTGCCAAATTTGTATGGATTTGGCTTTACAGTTTTATACTCTAACCCCTGATAAAAAAAAATCTAATACAAATCTTAAAATATTTCTTATTTATTTGTAGAAAAATGTAAAGAGTTTAATTTAAAAGGACAATAATGGTTTGTCAAGAACTTGAATTATATTAATTACCTCTTTTTTGCCTGCTTTCTTGAGCTAGTAGTTCCTATTGCATACAAACTAATAGCTCAAGAACATAGGCAACAAAATTAATTGTGAACAAATTGTGTTAAAAAAAGTACAAAGATAAAATAGGCCTACAAATAATTTTACCAAACATTTAAATATGAATTTAAACTCTGTGGTACCGTAGTTAAAATTCAAATTTTTTTTAAACGAGGAATGTAGTTCAGACAAACTCTTGATTATAAAGTAAAACTTTATACAACAAACTAAACTGTAGACAAACATTAACCCTACCTAGAATTAACAAGTTCACTGCCGCTTTGAGTGACTTAACCAGTGACAAACATCAACTGAATAAACAGAAACATACAACAGTCTGAACTTGATTTATTTATTATCCTATTTCCCATAACCATACCATTAAATAGTGTGGTGTTCTTTTCATCTTACAAAATCTGAAACCTTATATTGTGCTTATTTCATGTTGTTGAAATTTAAGTGTGGTTTATGACAATTGAAAGTCGTGTAAGCCAAAACAGTTTGTCATCAATTTAAGCCAATCAGTCTATTAGTCTCCCTAAATGACATAAATGTGCTTATTTAACTTTTCTTGCTGGGTTAAATTTTATTTTATGTTTTATTCTATCAATGGTCACTGGCACTTATAAGGTTTTGAAAGGGACCAGTCTATACCTTCCGCAAAGATTCGTGGCGGCTGAAGGATTAGGACGGTCGGGTGGTATCCCATCCCCTAAATTAGCCCTCACTCGGCTGCTCTGGGGTTTGACAATGAGTCACCCACTGGGCTCAATGCAAAGTTGGTAAAATGTTTTTATACCACCATCAAGTGTATTAAATAACATCATTTTTGTAACCTGCATCAAATAACAAGAACATTGAGCCCAAACACGAAATAATTGCGATGATATTAAGCATACCACAACACAAAAACTGTCTATTATTTTAAAACCAAAAGTATACTTAATATTGTTGAAATTATTTCGTGTTTTGGCTCAATGTTCTTGTTATTTGACGCAGGTTACAAAACTGGCGTTATTTAATACACTTTATGATGATATACAAAAATTCTTCCAGCTATGTATTAAGCCTAGTGGGTGACTCATAGTCAAAACCCAGAGCAGCAGAGCGAGGGCTAATTTAGGGGCTGGGACACCACCCGATCGTCCTAATCCCTCAGCCGCCACGAATCTTTGCGGAAGGTATAAACCCTACTTCTTATTCTTACTAACCACATTTTTTTAGATAGGTAGCATCATGAACTGATAGCCCAATCCAATGACATTGCATCTGGTTCCAGTAAGTATCTCACTTAGGATGGAATCAGTGACTTTCAGATTTGAAAACAAGCACTATAACTTCTGCTAACCCAGACATGATTGAGGCGTTGAAAAAACACTTGGACAAAAAAAATGTTAAAAAGTTTCTATGACAAATAAATGTTTAAATTTATGGTTATTTTTGGTAATGTGTAAATGCTCAATGGCATCAGTGATGATGTAAAGAGTGGTTGAATACAAAAAAATATGGTTTGTGGTGAGAATTTTGGCAAAAGTTTAGCTAAATAATCAGCTGATTCTTTCCAAACATATATATATATATATATATATATATATATATATATATATAATAAATATTTAACAAGGGTACTTTGTTAACTATGTTTTTAATTTTTATTATATTAGTAGCCCTAAACATGCAAGAAAATAATATAGATATAATATACCTATCTTATAAATACGCTACATTTTTCTA